GCCTCCCAAGAAATTGGCCAATCATGGGAATGGGGGGCAGGGAAGGGGGGGGGGGGCTCCCTTCCAGATGCTAAAGCATAGCAACAAGTCTAGTTCCTGGCATTGTAAGTCATCTAGCTTGTTATGCAAGGGTGCGACCAGAACACATCCCAGGTGGTGACTCATGTATAGAATGAAAAAAACAGAGTTGGAAATGGCACCACCAGCAAGGAGAGTAGGCAATGTCACAACACACCTATTTGTAAGCAGTTCACCTGGTCTTTCAGGACTCATCTGATGGCAAATCAGCCTTTCTTACCTTAACATGGTGTCAAATACCTCCACCACCCTCTCAGTCCCCAGGGGAAACAGAAGAGAAAAATTAAAAGAGCAGCAGCTTCCCTTCTCCAATACACACATACTGTTAGGCAAGGAGAGAAAGGGGAATCAGGAGAATGTGCAGGACAGAGCAATGCTAGAGGCCTGCAGGGTGTTTTCCTCCAGACTAGCAGGAAAGGAACACATCTCTACTCAGAGTAAGCTTGCCACAACCATAAATGGACTGGTGAACATTTTAGGAGAGATTACAGCAGAAGCAAAAGAGCAGCATGGGAGTAGAAGTGTGCTGCAGATCTGCATTGCAGACTCTGCAGTTTCCCACAGGGAATGCACAACTTACTGCTGCCAAACTGCAGACTTCTACGTATCCATTACTGAATACCCTTCTCACTCTCTGGATGTGATTTAGCCCACTTGAGGTCTCAAGGAAGAGGAGGCAGATTTTGCCAATTTTTTATATAAAGATACTATTATCTTGCCAAAGTTGGAGAGGGGCTTAATGAGAGAAAAGTGACTGCCACAGATCTTGGGAGTTCTCAGACACACAGGCAGGCTGCAAGAACCACCAATATATATGTACGTTACTCAATATCCAGTACAGCTCTGCCTCTGGGACAGGCAGTGAGGTGTTTAATAACTCCCACATCAAGGCTTTGTCTCACACTCGTTGGATTAGCGTAACAGTCCAGCATCTTTTACAGATCTTTGCTAAAGCTGCATCTCTTCAATAAATTAAGACAAGCATCTTTTCATCTCATGAGTTAACAATAAACACTTTGGACTGTGTCCATAAAATGACAAGCCAGCACTACAGTACCCAGGCTCTCTGGAGGTACTTCCTTCCGAGAAACTTTTAAAGAATCTATAGGTCAGTCACAAGTAAACTTCCATAAAAGCTCTTACAAAGCCAATATGCATTTTGTTAAGCAAACAGTGGGACAGTAAGTCGTATTTGCCCATTTACTGTATCGCATAAGCCAAAATGTAAGTGGAGAAAAACACAACAAACAAACAAAGATATGTCTTATGCCCAAGATGCCACAGGTTTACTACATACTTCTGGACAAGTAATTTAAAACACCTCATTCCTCTTCTTTTGAATTTCACCTCCCTCGCACAGAAAGCACTTAGAGCCTATAGATCAAAATCAGCTGAACTTTTGATCAAAATGTTTCACATCACTTCAGAACAAAAATAACCTCCATTTCTTTGCACGATTATACCTGCTGATTTTTGTGATCCTGTAGATTTTTTTGCCTGAAAGCTCTTCTGCTCTCTTCCTATCCTCCAATTTTACTACCATTTAGTCTGAAACTTGACAGGTTTTGTGTAAGGATCTATTTCATTGCTCCCAATGACTTACGCCGATTTTCTGATCATTAGCTTACAGATGCAGAAAAAACCAAAACAGATGTTAAGTCATTTGCCCAAGGCCATGCATGGAATCAGTAACAGAGGGCAGAAATAAAGTAGAATACACCAGTATGTAAACTATGCCAGGAGCAGTTGGTTACTATTAAACTCCTCCTGCAAAGCATCAGAAGTTAGGACCTAACCTGTAGCCTTTCTTTGGACACAGCATGAAAGAATGATTTAGCTTAACAGAAAATATGCATTGAAAAGGCATATTCCTGAAATGAATACTACTAGTCAGAACCATACCTTTTCTGGCAATTTTCATATGCGTTAATCTAAGTCTTTTAAAACACCAGATGGCACAGAAAGATTACATTACAGCCTAGGATTAAGGGGGTCAACAAGAGGTCCAATCCCATGACCTGTGCCCGCTGCAGGGTTTTTGAACAGAGGGATATTTTAACATGTGACTCCCTTCCTGCACCATCCTTCAAATTTCAGGCTGGAGACAGTCCTCTGTTAAGGATTTGAAGGGACAGGTACTTCTTAGATGAAAAATTAGTGGCTTTTAAAGAGAACTCATTTCTCTACTTCTGTTACAGAATTTTGTTTACAGGACCATGAAGTCTATTTTGAGAAGTTCCCTTTTCACAGAAGTTTCAAGTAAATTAATATTATATTGATTTCATAAAAGGAAACTATTCAGGCTCTAGACATAAATACAATGCAGATTACAACTACAATCGAGAAGACAACCATAGCTCAGCTTTAGGATTACAGTCAGCACACTAAAAATGAGGAACTAATTCACACAGCCCCAGATTCCTAATTCTCAGCTCTTCAGAAATGCTAATAAAATAGATGAACCTTGACCTGGGAAACAAGAACACAAATGGAAGCAGAGGGGGAAAGTGACTATTCACAGCCACTAACATGCCTTAAGTTAGACAGTGTCAGGAAATTGTTCACTCCAAATACTGAAGCTTCGAAAGTACTACAAAGCATGGATTTAACACCTCAGCCCTTTGCATTTATTATTTTGACTCCTAAGCTATAACGAAAACAGTTCGTCAAGATGCAGCTGCAGCTCCTTCAAAATCCCTTCTTGTGGGGTTCTTCCCCCTTTTCTTTCCTGTTTGCTATGAAGCTTTTTTTTTTTTTTAATATAACTAATTATAAAACACACTCCTCAACTTCTTGCCAGCAGTCAGTAAGGTGGCTACCTACTACAACCAGAAGGTAAGTCTTTTAGAAAGGAGTTTATTTCTGCAACTGTGGAATCTCAATTCCATCCCCTGCAACTGGGGAATCTAACTTCCATCCCTGCTTGCTCCAGTTGTCCGTTGCCTCTTGCAGAATAACAGCCAGGAGAGCCTGGGTGAGATTAACAGGTGTAGGTAGGTTCAAAACAGTAGAGCAGGAGGACCAGCTTCTTCATACTATGTGTAAACTACCTACACTGCCAGTGAATTAATTGTCAGTGAAAGCCAGAAGCTTGATAAAGTTGAAGAAACTGTACAGACAAATTCCTGGAAGAATATCCCCCTAAAAACTGGCAAAACAAAGAGGCTATGTCTGGCTTAAGAGGTCTGTGAGCTACAGATCACTGGTGCTGCTAGATTATACAGAGAAAGTGCCATCAGACGCCTTTAAACTGTTCCCTTGAAATCATCATTGGCTTACTGTCTTGACACATGACGTGGCTTGGAGAGGAAACACATTTTCAGA